TCAGCCCAGAGGCACCAGGCGCCCCCCACCGTCCCCCGCTACCTGCTTCCTTGGGGGGACGGGGGTCCTTCCTGGGAGATGGTTCCTCCCAGAAGGACCCAAGCGGAGCCCACAGATCGGCCCTGCAGGCCTCCTTGTGGCTTTTCTCGACACTTCCTCCACCTTCTCCTACCGGCCCTGCCACCAGATGCTACACTTGGCCTCTGATCTGAACAGAGAGTGGGGGAAGAGGATCACTTGGAAAAAAGAGTGTGTGTGTGTGGGGGGGAGGGGGCTACAGGTAACAGCCCAGCAGGAACCAAGGTCAGAGGGAGGGGCCGAAGGGAGGCCTGGGCACTGCTCACTGCCTGTCCATCGGCTGGGTTCCAAAATAAAGACACGGGGCCAGAAAAAGGGTGGAGGAGAAGGTGCTGGCCTCACACACAGCTGGACCCAGTTAGATCCCTGACATCCCAAACGGTTCCCAAGCACTGGCAGAAGGGATGGCGGAGCAGAGGCAGGAGTCAGCCGAGCACAGAGGCAGGAATGAGTCCTGAGGACAGAGGCAGGAATGAGTCCTGAGGACAAAGGCAGAAGTGATCCCAGAGCACACAACCAGGAGTAGTCCTGAGCACAGAGCCCAGAGTGAGCCATGAGCGAGCACCGAGCCAGGAGTTATCCCTGAGCACAGAGCCGGGAGTGAGCCCTGAACACAGAGCCGGTAGTGAGCCCTGAGCATAGAGGCAGGACTGAGCCCAGAGCACACAACCAGGAGTGAGTCCTGAGCACAGAGCCGGGAGTGACCCCTGAGCACAGAGCCCAAAGTAAGCCCTGAGCACAGAGCTCGGAGTGAGCCCCAAGCGCAGAGCCGGGAGTGTGTCCTGAGCACAGAGCCCAGAGTGAGCCCTGAGCACAGAGCCAGGAGTTATCCCTGAACACAGAGCCAGGAGTGAGCCCTTAGCACAGAACCGGGAGTGAACCCGGAGCACAGAGGAGGAGTGACCCCTGAGCACAGAGTCCAAAGTAAGCCCTAAACACAGAGCTGGGAGTATGTCCCGAGCGCAGAGCTGGGAGTGATTCCCAAGCACAGAGCCGGAAGTGAGCCCTAAGCACTCCTGGCTGTAACCCCAAGACCAAAATAAAGGAAATTAAACTCTTAGACAGACACTTGCCTCCTTCCTACCCCCAACAGGCCCCTGGGTCCACCCCCAGGGTCCCAGACCAAGGCCACCTCAGTGACGAGGCCAGCAGTCACCAGCAACATTCCAGGGGGTCGTAGGACCCCAGCCCCTCCGGACCTATGAGGTATGAAGTCTGGCAAGCTCACCTCACTCGGGCCAGCCCAGGAAACCTCGTGTCTCAGGAACGGCCCGTGAAACAGGGAGGCAGCCAGGGGTGAGGCGCTCCCTCACTACACAGCCCAGGCCTCTGGGCACGCAGAGACTTGCTCTGTCCCCGGTCCCCGCGGAGGCTGTGCCAGGAGCCAGGGACGCTGGGAACGCACTAAGTGCCCGGCTTTAATGAGCGTTGGCCCGCAGGGAGCGGCTTCCGCCTCGCCCGTGCTTGTCGCTCTGGCCTCGGCCATCAGCTCTCCCAGGACCCCTGCGAAACCCCAACCTCAGCGGTCGCCACCAGCTGAGCCCAGGGAAGGTGCTGCCTACGCGCTGGACCCACTCTTGGGCCATTCAGGGGGAACAGTGGACAGTTCTTATTTCCTGTCCGCCAAGGGAATGCAGGGGGGCGCTGGAGGAGGCTCGAGACAGCTCTGGGCCTGGCCAGGGGGAGAGCTTGAGTGCCCAGTCCTAATAACTCGGCTGCCGCCGGGCTCTCCCCAGCACCCCGAGAGAGCCGCTCCCCTGGAACGAAGGGCCCTGCCAATTACCCCCGTGTGAGGGAGCAAGCCCAGGAGGGCCTGACCCTGCAGGCAGATAGGACACTGGACACGGAGCCCCGGCCCTGGCTGGTCAGATAATACCTGAGACAGAAATAGCATCACGCTGGTCACTCGTCACAACAGTGCCCAGTGTCACACCACCAACTGCCAAACTCAGGCCAGAAAGGAGGCGCCCGGCACGGTCACTTCACATGAGACTCGGACAGTAGGGTGCGTGGTCCCCTCCCTCCTCCGGCCTGTGGGGGACAGTGCTCAGAGCCCAGGACAGGAGGAGGAGGAAATGGAGGTCTCCTGAGGTCCAACCTTGCTGAGACAAAACACGCCCCCTTCTAGAATTCCGGCCGAAGACTTCTCAAAGGACAGAGCGGTCATCCCCACGGGGCTCAGACTCTGCCCAGACCCCAGCCTGGAGCACAGCCTATCCACGGTCTCCTCTTCCTGGAGGGGGGTGCGGGGGCAGCTAAGGAAGCTGAGCGTGGACACGGGGTCTCCTGGACCATGCACAACTGAGCACGGACTTTGCACGCTGGAGGCCTGGGTTCAATCCCCAGCACTGTCTGGCTCCCCGAGCACTGTGGGAGCTACTCCAGAGAAACCCATATCAGGTCTGGCCCCCTACAACAAAACAGAACAGAAAGGTGGGAGGGGGGCACTTAAGGATATAGGGGGCCTGGAGGGCTGGAGCGATAGCACAGCGGGTAGGGCATTTGCCTTGCACACAGCCAACATAGCCGACACAGGTTCGATTCCCAGCACCCCATATGGTCCCCTGAGCACTGCCAGGAGCAATTCCTGAGTGCATGAGCCAGAAATAACCCCTGAGCATTGCTAGGTGTGACCCAAAAAGCAAAAAAAAAAAAAAAAAATATATATATATATATATATATATATATATATATATATGAGGCCTGGAGTGATAGTACAGTGGGGAGGACGTTTGTCTTGCACACGGCTGACCCAGGTTTGATCCCCGGCACTCCACATGGTCCCCTGAGCACTACTAGGAGTGATCCCTGAGAATAGAACCAGGAGGAACCCCTGAGTATCGCCAGGTGTGACCAAAAAAGCAAAAAAAAAAGAGAAAGAAAAAGGAAAGAGCAGAATGTAGGGTGCTCCCACAGCTGCCCAGCCTCCATGCTAAGTTTTCAGAGCTGACTCAGCCTCCAAGGCGGCCGCACATTCTCCGGTAACATGTTACCAGAGTAACAGCTGGCACTCATGAGCCAACTGCAGAGCACCCCGAAGACTGCAGGGTGATCAAGTGCCTTTCTGACCCAGGGCATGTCCCAAGCTGGGTCATCCTGTGGGTGTGGCACCCGGGCCACCAAGTCACCCACCCAGCACCCCTCACGTCAGCCTCAGCAATACCAGGGCTGACATGGGCTGCCCACAGTGGGCCCAGCACCCGCCACTGACCACATGACTACAAGTACAGCTGACCCAAGTGACAGGGAATGCCGCTGTTATCACAGCTGATGCTAGCAGTGCTCCTGAGGGTGAGTCTGTTACCACAGCTAATGCTGCTAGTGCTCCTGAGGGTAGTCCCACTGCTACCACAGCTAATGCTGACAGTGCTCCTGAGGGTGAGCCCCACTGCTCCCACAGCTAATGCTGACAGTGCTCCTGAGGGTGAGTCTGTTACCACAGCTGATGCTGCCAGTGTTCTGAGGGTGAGCCCCGTTGTTACCACAGCCAATGCTGCCAGTGCTCCTGAAGGTGAGTCTATTAGCACAGCTAATGCTGCCAGTGCTCCTGAGAGTGAGCCCCACTGCTCCCACAGCTAATGCTGACAGTGCTCCTGAGGGTGAGTCTGTTACCACAGCTGATGCTGCCAGTGTTCTGAGGGTGAGCCCCGTTGTTACCACAGCCAATGCTGCCAGTGCTCCTGAAGGTGAGTCTATTAGCACAGTTAATGCTGCCAGTGCTCCTGAGAGTGAGCCCCACTGTTCCCACAGCTAATGCTGACAGTGCTCCTGAGGGTGAGTCTGTTACCACAGCTGATGCTGCCAGTGTTCTGAGGGTGAGCCCCGTTGTTACCACAGCCAATGCTGCCAGTGCTCCTGAAGGTGAGTCTATTAGCACAGCTAATGCTGCCAGTGCTCCTGAGAGTGAGCCCCACTGTTCCCACAGCTAATGCTGACAGTGCTCCTGAGGGTGAGTCTGTTACCACAGCTGATGCTGCCAGTGTTCTGAGGGTGAGCCCCGTTGTTACCACAGCCAATGCTGCCAGTGCTCCTGAAGGTGAGTCTATTAGCACAGCTAATGCTGCCAGTGCTCCTGAGAGTGAGCCCCACTGCTCCCACAGCTAATGCTGACAGTGCTCCTGAGGGTGAGTCTGTTACCACAGCTAGTGCTGCCAGTGTTTCTGAGGGTAAGTCTGTTACCACAGCTGATGCTTCCAGTGCTCCTGAGGGTAATCCCTCCCCTCTCCCCCGCCCCTTACCACAGCTAATAGTGCCAGTGCTCCTGAGGGTGAGTCTGTTACCACAGCTAATGCTGCCAGTGCAGCAGCAACCTGGGGACCAAACAAGCAGGGAGAGCTGGAGGGGCTCCTGGCCCCTCACAAAGCCCCTCAATCCCTTCATGAGACCAAAAGGGAGCATGCAGAGCCCCTCAGTGCCCCCAGCGGGCTCCTCCTCGGGCACCCAGAGTGACCGGCAGCAAGACCCCAGGAACCCCCACAGCCCAGGTGCTCTGGGTCCCTGGCAGAGGAGGTCGGCAGTGGCCAGAAGCCAGCAGGCCGGGGAGCTCAGTGATGCGCGAGCACTGTCCAGCGTGGAATGTGATTCCAGGCACTCGCTGAGCCTCCAGACCTGGGGACGTGGCACCTCTGCTGAGGGTCCCTCCCAGCACTGATCACGAGCACTGAGAACACAGCCCTCTCCAGGCACAAACATCATTCCAGACCGGGCGGTCCCTAGAGATCCCGGCTCCCGGCTCCTCCCGGCTCCGTGAAATATGAGCCCCCACCCCCCCATCCCCCACACCCATCAGGAAGCCTTGGTTGCATCTAGAGAGAAACGGCATCACCACAGCACCCAGACGGGGGCTCCTGGCCGGGCCTTCACTGACCACTGCCCACTGCAGCCCACCCCTCCCACGCCCATGTCCCCTGTGACACGGTTACCTCGATCAGAGTGAAGAGCCCCAGCACGAGATAGGACTTCCAGTAGCACCTGATGATAGCCTTCGTCAGAGACGGCTTCCGGCCTTCCTTCTCAGCCCGCCACACCTCCTTGTCCCAGTACCTACAGGGAGAAATGAGGCCCGTGGGACGTCGGCATGAGAAGAACATGCATGGTGGCTCCCACAAGCGAGGGGACGCCCCAGAGAACTGCGGACCCAAGCCGGCACCCCAACAAGGTGAAGAGAGTGAGTCAAGACGTGGGGGCAGTGTGGTGGTGTGACCTCAGCTCTGGGGACACAGGTGGCCCCCTGTGTAGGTGACTCCCTGTGTGTGCAAAGGCTCCAAGGCAGGGAAGGGTGGCCCCAGGGCAGGGCGGGCAAGGACCCCCTGCTCCAGGAAGACTACCGAGGTTCCTTCCCACCTGACCGTTTCACCGACAGCCACTTACCCTTGCAGCTGGTCCCCAAGGTGTTTGGAGCGGTCCTCGGGAAGCACCGAGTACATGTCATCTTCCTCCAGTCTCCGCTGGTGGCCGATTTTAAACAAGGGGTTGAGCCACCTGGGAAAAGAGCAAGAGAGGAAGAACGTGATCTCGACATCCTCAACATCCAATTCCAAATCCGGTTCCTGCCACGATGTTGCATTTGCAGGTTAGGTGGAAAGAATGACTCTATAATGCTCAGGGTGTACTCCTCGCCCTGTGCTCTCAGAGATCATTCTAGGTGTGGCTTGGGGGACCCGTGGCGAGGTAAGCACCTTCCCCGCTGTACTATCACTCCAGCTTTGGGAGGAATTTTTTTTTTCATTTTTTTCATTCAAGAACTGCAATTTACAAAGTTGCTGACAATTCCGTTTCAGGCATAAAATATTTCAACACCAATCTCACCACCAGCGTCAACTTCCCTCCACCACTGTTCCCAGACTCCCTCTGCACCCCAACTCCTGTCCCCTACCCGCCGTCCACTTGACACTTGACAAAGCGCCAATGGCTGCAGCCTGGGTTTCATAGACGGCGACACCACTCTGCCAAATCCCCAGCCTAACGGAAGCCCTCACGTCTGTTCACCCACTTCTTCCCGTTCTCTTCGTCCCTCCTGGATTTCTTTCCTTCGCTGTCCTTCTGCTCCCTAAACACTGGGATCAAGAGTGATCTAGAGGGGACCAGAGCAATAGTACTGCGGGCACAGCATTTGCCTTGCACGCAGACAACCTGGGTTCGATCTCCGGCATCCCATATGGTCCCCCCCAAGCAAGGACAGGAGTAATTCCTGAGTACATGAGCCAGGAGTAACCCCTGAGCATCACTGGGTGTGACCCAAAAAGCTAATAATAAATGAATAAATAAAGGCCTTTATTAGAGGCAATTTAAGTAAATAAATAGTGATCTAGACACCCCTCTTTACTAGATACATTTCTTTATCCATTATTCCACATACCACAGATAAACGAGACTGTTCTGTGCTTAGGAAAGATTCTGTTTTCAAGAGAGAGCAAACAGCAGGTGAGGGGTTTGATGCACACACACAAAGCCTAGAAACAAAATCCAGATTTGGGACTTGGAATTTTTTCTTCTTTTTTTTTTTTGCAGTTCTGGGACTTGAACCCACATGCAGGGCATGCTGACACCCACAGACACAGCCCGTAAGATCTGGGTTCTATCCAGATATCCTTCCCTGGAAATCACCAGGCGCCCATCGAAGGGCAGAAAATGTGCAACCAAGTCAAGAAAAATAAGAGATAAAGGGAAAAGAGGGTGAGGGAGATAGCCCAGTGGACTAATGGTTCACATGCAGCCACCCATGTTTGATCCCCCACATGCACAGTGGGGAATGGCCCTCAGCGAAGAGCCAGGAGTAGCCCCTGAGCACTTCCAGATGTGGCTCAAACACTAAAGAAATCAGATTATCATGAGAGCTTTAAGAAGGCATTCAAAGATCCAAAAAGCCAAGTTCCCAGGACAGAGAAGCCGGCTGGGGCTCCCAGGGACCAACCTAAGCTCCTCTTGAGCATCCGACTAAAGGAACTAAAGGCCGGGATGTAGCATGCCGGGAGCAAAGACCCAACCAGAAAAATCAGTGCTGGATGCAAGACGCCGTCCAATCCCCAAATTCGCTTTCCAGGAACAGGACACTAAGGGGCAGGTTAGCCCTCAGTAAGCCCTGTGCCCCATGTCACCTGTGACAGCAGCTCTATGTCATACCCAACCCCTCCACCAGCACTCAGGGGCAAGCTGGGGTCTCTGCTTCACCCCAACCACCGCTAGCTCCACATGCAGTTCTCTGCTCCAATCTTCCAAGCCCCCTGCTTAAGCAATAAGCCTTGGGCTCCCCCTCGAGGGGGACCCTGCAGCCTGGAGAAGCCTCCAGTCCCCCCATTCCACCTACCAGCCTCACATGCACCCAGCTGCAAACAGCCCCGGGGCCCCAAGGGACAGCTGGAAGGTTCCATGGTTGTGTCTCAATTCTTCACAAACCTGAGCTGCCCCCCGCAGGACCCCCATTTTCATGCCACTATGAGGGAGTTCTACAGGGGCACACCCCGCTCCAAACTCCAGCTGTTCAACTTCTTATTTTCTCTTCTGGAAATTTCCCTTCCCCTCTATCTCTGCTCGTTAACTGTGCCAACCACCTTCCTTTGTACTCCTGGGGGCCCTCTGGCCCCAGAGCCCTGGGTTCCGCCTCCTCCTCCCCCCACCATGCCTCCCCTCCCTCACCCCCACACCCAGCCCACTCCTGAGTCCCATGGCGGCTACCCAAAGTGCAGGGGACCCCAGACCTGCCCTCCAGGGGACCACAGTCGCCCCCACGGCTGTGACGACAGAGTATGTGGGTGCTCGAACTTGGGGCCTCACGTTGGCACAGTAGCCACCAACCATCTCCCCAACCATTTCTCACGGACACAAGGCCACTGCGTGTCCTGGGTGGTGCTGGGCGGGAGGGGAGCGGGATCTGTGCCTGGCTCAGCCCCTCCCGGCTCCCTGCCCCACCCCCGGAACCACAGCGCAAATCACATGCACACTGCAGCTCCCGGGTCGGCCACTCACACTTCCTGTTCCCTGTGTGGGAAGTCAACAGCACTCACACACACACACAAAACACACACACCATACATCATACCACACACACACCATACATACCACACACATGCCAGACACACCACACACATCATACATACCACACACAAACACCATACACACCATACACACACCATATACACACCACACACACACTACATACCACACACCATTACACACACACCACACATACCACACACCGCACACATGCTCACCACACACACACACGTACACACCACACACTGCATACCACACACACCACACACGTGCACACCACACACGTGCACACCACACACGCACGTACACATCACACACACCACATAGCACACACATGCACATACCACACATACCGCACACATGCACACCACACACACACGTACATACCACATACCACACACACACCACATACATGCACACTCACAAACCACATACACGCACATATACACACCATACACACAATACATGCACACACATACACCACACACACCACATACACATACCACATACATTCACATACATACCACACACACACACACACACATACTTGCTCCTGCAACTGCCCCCTCCAGCCTCCACAGCCCTGTCCACCCCCTAGCCAGGCTGGCCCCTGTGCGGATTGGGGAGCACCAGCATTCCCGAGCCCACCCGACTCGAGCTTTCATTTCCCTCTGGCTTCTGCAGGGAGACAAAGGCCTGTGGCTGGCTTGGGCTATCCCCTCGTGGACGGGGCCCATGAGGGCAGGGTGTAAGGGTGTCAGAGAGTGTCTGAGTGTCCCTCACCCAGAGGCTCTGCACAATGTGGGCGTGTGGAAGTGGGCCCGCTGGGTGTGTCGGCCGGTCACCGGAGTGACGGGGTCCATTCCCAAGGTTCTTGTCGATGGCCACGAGAGTGAAGTCGTGTAAGGCCCTTGCAGGTGCTCATTCTGGCCAAGGTGTCATCCAGGTGACATTCTCCCGAAGAGCCGCCAGCCCCCATCCCTGGAGGCCCCCAAAACCCTATGGGAGGGCAACAGTGGGAGGCGTGGGGAAAATGCTCTTACAGGACTAAACCAAACCAAGGCAGGGTGCCAGGATCAGGGATCAAGGTGGAGGAGTGGAGGGACCACCTGGACCAGGAATCCCCACTCCCTGGGCACCATGCTCACCATCCTCTCTGCGGCCTGCCAGAAACGTTTTCTAAGGGGCTCCGCAGAGAACGCGCTGACGGAGGCAAGAAAGCAGGGTAGAACTGAAAGGCAAATGGCCGAGGTGCCCTCCCAGTGTCCCCCAGCCCTGGTGGCACAAGAGGATAAGCTGCAGGGAGACACCTAGGCGGGAGTGAGTGGCCCCGGAGGCCAGAGAAACCCCGTGCTCTACTCACCAACAATGAATCACACAGAAAGGACTTCCAAAAATCAAATTTGGGCCCAGAGTGATAGGACAGTGGGTTGGTGCTTGCCTGGCACAAGGCGGGTCCAGGTTCAATTTGAGCACCCATCTGGTTCCCCCCCACACACACACACCCAAGCACTGCCAAGGGTGATCCCTGACCACAGAGCCAGCAATAAGCCATGAGCACTGCCAGGTGTGGTTCTCTCCAAAAAAAAAAAAATCAAAGGCCACCCTCAAAATTCGATGAATCTGACGCCAAAAGCAAAGATGTCACAAAAGTGAAAAGTGGGACTCCCTCAAACCCAAAGGAAAAGGCAAGCTGAACGAAAGGGTCGCCCACAGCACCCGTCACCAGGCTGCTAAGACATGCTAAGACATTCAAGGACCGCGGGGGGCATGAGCCAGATAAACAGCAATTTTAAGGTGTGGGTAGAGGATCTGGGTATGCATCGTCCCAAAGAGCGTTTCCAAATCACAAAAAGATGCTCAAGGCACGAATCTTTAGGAAGAGCAGAGTCAGATGGTGAAGATCCAGCTCGGGGCTGGGAGAAGGGACAGGCCAAAGCCGAGACAAAGCCAGGAGACGATGAGATGCCTCCTAAACTCATGTCAGAAGGAGCGAACACGGAAAACAGCCTGGAAATTCCTCTCAAGTGCCAAAAGAGGGATTGGAGTGATAGTACAGAGTGCAGGGTGTTTGCCTTGCGAACAGTATGACTGACCCAGGTTTGGGGACCGGCATCCCATAGGATCCCCCAAGCACCGCCAGGAGTAATTCTTGAGTGCAAAGCCAGGAGTAACCCCTGAGCATCTCTGGGTGTGACCCAAAAAGCAAAAAATAAAATAAAGGGCCAAAAGCAAGTTATACAATAATCCAGCAATTCCTCCTAGAGGTACCAATCTCACACCCTCGCTCAGAGAAAGATACACAACTACCAGGCTCATCAGACAGTGACGATCTGAATAACACCTGTCACGGATGCATGTCCAGGCATGCCTGTCAGTGGATGAATGAAGAAAAAGGCACACACACAACGGACCATAATCCAGCCTTAAAAGGAAATCCTATCGCATCGTTCAGGATAGCATCCCTGTGCTCAAGGGCACTCAGGTAG